TGCATTTCAAAGTCCAGACCTGACTAGACGTCTGATAAGAAACTGCAAGTTCATATAAAGCCATTGAACCTGCTCACCCTGACACAAGAGCAGTATGCATAATATGGACAGCTATTAAACGACCAAGATCATTTAATACAACTGTATGTACACGATACCAAGGTAGACCAATGAAATGAGACCTTTTGTCATAGACAATTTTTTTATTTTTTATTTTTTTAATTATTATTATTTTTTTTATCTTTTTTTAAGCCCAGGGTGTTGTAGATGCCAATGACCAGACACACGGTGTTGCAAAATTGGATAAAATTCCAGAAGGGCATCACATCATGAACTCTGTGTGTGTGTGTGTGTGTGTGTGTGAGAGAGAGAGAGAGAGAGAGAGAGAATACACAGCTGATGTGTATAAGAGACAGGAGAGAGAGAGAGAGAGAGAGAGAGAGAGAGAGAGAGAGAGAGAGAGAGAGAGAGAGAGAGAGAGAGAGAGAGAGAGAGATTCTGAGACTTGGTGGCATTGGTTGCTTGCCCAGACTCATACCAATATCTGGACTGAGACATTGGAAGACTATATGCTGTCTCTTATACACATCTAGATGTGTATAAGAGACAGGAGAGAGAGAGAGAGAGAGAGAGAGAGAGAGAGAGAGAGAGAGAGAGAGAGAGAGAGAGAGAGAGAGATTCTGAGACTTGGTGGCATTGGTTGCTTGCCCAGACTCATACCAATATCTGGACTGAGACATTGGAAGACTATATGTGGGCGACACTACTGAGTTGATGACATTCCATATGTCGTCCTCTTTGTCTCTTCCCTCTCCTCTTCGCCTGTGTATGATCTTCGCCACGGCACTCTTCTATGTGTACAGTGCCATGGCCCATCCCCTGCATCAATGATGAGTGAGTTGCAGTCTGTGTTAGTCGAGTTGAGTCAGATCTGTGTGTATCACTCCTCCTCTGCATTCTATTCTGCTCATTCTCCTTGGTCGGTTCTTCGGTTCTGTGCCATGCCCATCTGACTGTCTTCGGGCATGCAACAACAAAGCTCCCATCTATTTGTGGCTAGCAGCACGTCCTCGGAACCAGTCAGGGCATGAATAGTAAACTACTAAACTCTCATTGTAACGAGTTCTCCTGCACCAATGCATGAGTTCTGTAGTTGTACGCAACGTTAGGTGCATCCAACAATGTTTTAAAAGTAGTAAAAATATAAAAGTGGACGTAGTATAAAAGCGTAGGCCAGCTGTGGCTTCACAGTGACCCAAGAACAGGGTAGGGGCCGAAAGATTTGACACACAGCTGCGCCGTTTTGCGTATGCCATCCTCAGCTCAGCGATACTTATTTTTTTTGGCAGAAAGATTTGAAACGGTTTGTCATCGGTGTGCGAGCCTTTCAGAAATTTTGTGCACGTAAAGTGTCCACCAGCGCAGTTACATGTGTGCTCGCTTTGGGATTTGAAGTTTTGAACTCACCGGGTCTGTTGCTCAACCGTCTGCCGCCATGAGAAGCCCCTTGTTCACTGTCAGATTAGCCATTAGCAGATAGAGACACTGTGAATATAGAAAAGGTTGGTGACTCAATTCTTATCTGAAGAGCTTAAACTGGAGCTTAATCAGCAGGTGCGAAGCACAAAAAGTCATAATGGGATATCTCTCCTAAGTACCCAAATTTATGCCGTGAAATGGAAGGCACAGAGCAAAAAGAGGTTATACCATAAATGAGTGAATTGCAAAAAAAACGAAAAGTGACTCATCAGCCGGCATGGCTCAGTGGTAGAGCGTCTGCTTCGTAAGCTGAAGATCGTGAGTTCGATCCTCACTGTCGGCAAAGGTCTGTGGAATGCGGCAGTTAGTGTCAGTGAAGCTTTGTCACGGTATCGGACACTGCCTTGAGTCACCTCATCGATTTTTTTCCAAATCATCCATCGTTCAATTCTGCTGAATGAAGTGTTGAAAGCAAGACTTAGTTCTCAAGTGATGAAAGCAAGTTCTGTTCTGTATCAGACGATGATGCCTTCAGTCACATCCAAGGGTTCCTGC